ACGAACGCCATGCTGATCCCTCGGAACTCAAGGTTCAACCAATCAGGTTCGTCGCGCGATAGGAAGGTCCTATCGATCCACGCGCCTGATTGGCGAGCGGGAGTTATCGGGGGATCGACCGGGCGTCGTACGCCAAACTTAGAGGGTGAGAAGAGAAAAGGCGCGAGAGGTGGCGCAAGACAGGTCCAAGATTCAGATGATCAAGAAAGGGAAATGGGCGCGCGAAAGCAAGGCGGGAGAGAGAGAGAGAGGGAGAAGGAAAAATAGTTACAGGGAGAGAGAAAAAGGAGGGAGAAGGGAAGGGAGGCGCGGGAGGGAGTGATGCGGGGGACAGAGAAGAGGAAGCTTTTGCATGCACGGCGCCGTCAACAAAAAAAAGAAAAAGGCACCGAAACAGTTACAACTTGCTTCTATCCTAATTCAAAATTGAAATCACCATATCCGCGYGCGAAAACGCGACGCGGGAAAAGAAAATCCTACGCCTATTCGTATTCACGCAAAATTCCGAGAGTTTTCCCCGACGCGCCCAAGAACATCTACTCACCCAAAAAGGACACGTCGAAGTTCCGCTTATCCTGGAATTCCCAACTACTGAGCCCAATTCCTAGTGCGCTCGCTAGGGCGCACGTAAACTCCCATGTATTTCTCGACTTTGCAAAAAGAAAAACAAAATTCAGTAGTCGAAAAAAAACTCTTCAAAAAGGAAAATGCAGCACCCGAATACAAGCAAAAGGGTACGAAAGATGGCACGGGGTCAGGAAGTGGTTCATCACAACGCTCCTTTCCTGAGCATCCGAACATTGCAGCCGAAAAGCCTTGGGAAAAGATGGGTCTGTCACAGGAAGAGTGGCAAGAACGAATGGATAACAGGCAGTGCCTGGAAAATGGCACTGTAGGGTACGTCATAGCATGGTGCCCTCTCATTCCGAACCCAAAAGGGAGCAGCCAGTAGGAATAACATCTGGTCCTGAGTTAAGGGGTTCAGATAAAGGTAAGGCGCCGATCACCCCTTTCAACCCCTCGACTCATACGACAGAGGATGGCCCTTCTTCGGCCCGTCGCCCAGAACACCCTGAAACAGTTTTGTGTTCTGTCTCACCGGATGATTCCCTTGACGAACTCCGAAACGAACTCATAGCTTTAAGGAGTTCGTGGGCTAAGAAAAAAACGACTAAGGGTGAGTTAATGATTGTCGATATTGAGATTGCATGCACGTGAGTGGGTGCCTTGTTAGATCCAAGATCAATGCGGTCCTACATCTCAGAGAAGGCAATTTGTAAGTTGCATTTGGGAATGAAGGTAAGGGACTTGTCATGACCTATCACGTCTATGTTGGCAGACAAGAGCACGATCATCGTCTCTCAATATGTCGATCGTGTCAAATGCTACTTCAGGATCAAGGAAGGAAAGAAGATCTAACACGAAATATCCTTCTTAATTGAGAAGAACCTACCCTTTAACATGATTCTGGGAATGGATTGGCACAAGCAACCCGACCCACGAGTCAGGTTCAAGGACAAGATCGTCCGAATTAAGAGCAATTAAATTGTATCACAAGTCTGGCTCTGACTCGTCACTGTTTTTTTGTTGTATGAGTTACCCAACCTTTAGATATATGGTCTCAAAGAAGAAGTTGGATCAGGTTGTGACGATGGTGCTCGTTAAACGAGTAAGAGAATGTTACTCATCCTACCCTCCTATCGAGAGATTACTTGATAAGTATAAGGACTTGCAGATTGAGCCAACGGGAATCACTGAGTGTGCTATCAAGCACACGATTGAGATTATTCCCCGTAGTAAGATTCCCAAGGGTCCCATCTATCGTATGTCTCCTAGGGAACTTGAGGAACTGCAAGAACTAACTGAAAAAGGATAGATTCGTTCTAACCCATCTCCTTATGGTGCTTCCTTTCTTATTCGTGCCCAAAAAGGAGGGTGAACTTAGACTATGTATCGATTATCGAGGGTTGAATGTCGTCACCGTCAAAAATGCGGAACCAGTTCCACACGTTAACAACTTGTTTGACCAATTGCACGGATGCAGGTACTTTAGTAAGATTGATCTCAAGTCAGGGTACCACCAGATCGAGGTAGCTCTCGAGGATCAACACAAAACAGCATTCTGAACTAGGTATGGTCACTACGAGTTCGTGCTTATGCCTTTCCGATTGACTAATGCTCCTGCCCCCTTTCAAAGGTCTATGAATGAACTATTTCGTCAATCGCTGGATCAATTTGTAATTGTCTATCTCGATGATATCCTCGTGTATAGCAAGACACTTTAGGATCACGAGAAACACCTGCCAATGGTTCTTCAGAAGTTGCGCGAAGGCAACTTCAAACTGAATCTGAAGAAGTTTGAGCTCGCTAAGCCTGAAGTGTTATACTTAGGGCATATAGTGAACGAATAAGGACTAAGGCCCGAAGAGAAGAAGATAACAGCAATTCGAGATTGGCCCCAACCTAGGACTGCCACTGAGCTCAGTTCTTTCCTAGGACTTGCTAGTTATTACACGAAGTTCGTAAGGAACTTCTCCTTAATAGTTGCTCTTATGAGAAGACTACTGAAGAAATAAAAACCTTGGTTACGGGACAAAGATTGTGAGTAGTCGTTCAAGAAGTTGAAATATGTACTGACTCACTACCCTGTCTTAAAGATTGTTGATCCTTCTCTGCAGTTTTATACGAGGAAGACATACAGAAAGTTAAAGAAAATCTACAGAAAGCCCAGTTACGGATGATTGAACAGCCCAGTAAAAGAAAATCTCCCTTCTCAGTTCCAAGAAGGGGACCTAGTCTGGGTAAAGTCTAAAGAATTTTCCTTGGAAGAAAATGTGTCCCAAAACACTACTGCCTGTCTATTACGGACCCTGGGAAGTTCTCAAGGTGATTGGGGATGCAGATGGACTTTCTTACCGAATTGATGTACCCCCACACTTTGAACCTATCCTGTCTTTCACGCATCTAAGCTCTTGCCATATGTAGAAGGTAATGAGTTTCCTAACAGACCATCTACGTTCCCGCCCTCCATGAATGGAGGCTACGGAGTTGAAAAGATTCTGGAACATGGCTACTTCTCTACAAGTGGCAAAGCAAGACCGCAAAAGCAGTATAAGGTAAAGTTCAACTCCCAACCCCCAACCGAGGCTAGATGGTTCAGTAAGAAAGAACTCCTACCTACTGCTTCTGACATTGTTTCTGCACATGAACGTGGGTTAAGAGAAAACTAATGTATTTCTGTGATGGAACTCGAAATTTGGGCGGGCAGGAATGCAATACCCCGCTCCATATGCTCTGAAGTGCCCTAAGACCACACACAGGCCGCGACCCCGATCTGAGGCCGCAAGGGCCAAGGCGAGGAAAACCCTTGGATTGGCCTAGAGCCTGTGCGCCCGACAGTTGACTTTGGTCAACTTCCCAGCAGTCCAAGAGTCAAGGTCGCCGGTCAGACACACACACTTGTTTGTATGCAGGTACCAAGACAGCATCAGGACCAAGTGGAAGTCTGCAACCATATGTAATCCAGGCCCTCGGCTGCGAGTCAATTTGAGCCACCGTGGGAGGGAGACCTGAGGCCGGTCAGCCTCGCCTGGCCTCCAGGGAATCAACATTCAGTCTTGTTATGCTGCCTTGACGCTGGCTTGACCCTGGCTTTATGCTGGCACTGTCCACGACGCGAGACTGCTGCTGCACGCTAGCGCCATTCTGCTTTGGTGCAGCGTATGCTGACGTGGCGCAGGGCCATGCTGTCTTCAACATTGCTGATGTGGCGCATGCCACTCTGACTTCATTGCTGACGTGGCATTTTCCACATTGTCTTCATTGCTGAGTTGGACGCGACAAGGAGGGAGATCGAGATCTGTGGATGATTGAGAGGGAACGGGATACTTACCTGCGGGTGATGCCGATACTTTGCGCTGCTGATTGTCTCCAACGTCTTCACGAGAGAACTGACAACTGCCAATAACAAGAGAAGACATGGACTGATTTTGACAGTGGAGGCAACTCAGGCAAGGATCAGCTTCCTGTCACTGTATCTGTCCGTCCGTCTGTCTGTCTGTCTGTCTGTCTGTCTCTCTCTCTCTCTCTCTCTCTCTCTCTCTCTCTCTCTCTCTCTCTCTCTCTCTCTCTCTCTCTCTCTTCTGTGTTGTGTATTTGCTAAACACAATTCCAGTGCGAAATAGCGGCTGAACTTTACCACAGAAGACCAAACCTGACAGGCTGCCCAGGATGCATTTGACTGACAGATAAGGACTTGCCACCTTGTCCGAATACCCATGAAAAAATTTGGCGGCCAGCTGCCATGTGTGTGTGTGTGTGTGTGTGTGTGTGTGTGTGTGTGTGTGTGTGTGCGTGTGCGTGTGTGTGCTCACATGATGCTGTTTGCATCTGTCAGCAAGTTCAAGTAGGGGGGAACAATACGTGATGTCCATTACGGTCATGACTTGACCTTCGGCCTGAGCTGATCTGCCATTTCCATGAATGAATGACCCCGGTCCCCTACAACCACCCCCAGCTCCCCCAACCTGCCCATGGGGTTCCCAACTTTGACATGCGTTGAACCAATCCAATCAGTCGGGCCGGCATGAGTGGCACTCGAGGCCGGCATTAAGTTGCAATGCCGCCTTAGGTTGTTGTAATGTCACTCAGGCCATCAATACAACTGCAGGCCATGACATGGCCTTTCACTCTTTTCAGGGAGGGGTGAAGAGGAGGACGTATCTACAGTGAGGATGGCATCAATACAACAATCAAATGCAATCTACGCGAGGAGGCAAATGGCAGGAAGGATTTTTTTTTCCAGGGTGGGGAGCAAGGAGGGTGAGGAGGGGGAAAGAGGAGGAGCGAGGAGGGGGGGAAGGAGAAGGCAGCTGAAGAGGAGGTATTGCGATGACATGAAAAGAATTGAATGTCAATGATGTGGAGGGGTGAGTGTGTGGGAGGTGGATTGTGCTCCACGAGCCATTCCACGGCCAAGAATGTGCACAATGCTTGCCTACCTCTTAATTTCATTGACCCAGTTTGAGAGGGTCGATAAAGGGCCGCAAACCAAGAATGGACCATGGATGCCCTTCCCTCGAAGATGGCAGAGAAACCCGATGCATTGCACTGTTTTCCCCAAGCCCATTTGATCCGCAAGGATCCCATTGAGCCCATTCTGCCAAAGCGAAACCAACCATTTGACACCCTTCAGCTGATACGATTTCAGAATCCCGCCTGTCAGAAGTGGGGTCAAAAGCTTCTGTTCCTCCAGCCGCACTGCTTCATCTTCCTCCACATGGGGACCGCACTTGGTTGATGCACCATTAGACTCGGCGATCGCGTTCTGCAGCTTTGCCTGGGCCACAGAACTGGCATTTGCAGTGTTTGCCTTCTTCCGTGCAGCTGCCTGTGGCCAATGATCACAAACAGGAAGAGCTGTTAAAGGCGTCCCAGCATTGTCGCTGAATGGTACAAACCTGTGGTTGTTGATAAACAGGCAACCACCTCATACCCTGATGAGAAGCGGTTAACAGAGCCCTGAATTTTCAGGGTTTTTTCAGGGTCATTATAATTTTTTATAACAAATGTGCCACATCTTTTAAGCCAGACTTGTCAGCAGTCCGTAGAGTGGACACCAATTACACCAACAGCAAAAAACGAAAGGGAAAAAAATGGATCAAAGGGGACCTAAAACCCCGAGGCAAAAGTGTGTTTTCATGCAAAATTCACTCTTTTGAGTCTTTTCAGAGAAGTTGGTACACAGGCCACCATCTCATACCCTGATGCTGGGGGCTACCCCCTTTCTTAAGCCGCCAGTACACGGCTCCCACCTCGCTGAAAAGAAAACTCGTCGCCTATGAAATTTCTGGAGGCCCAGCGCCGTAGATAAATCGAATCGGCGGTGGGCGGCCTCGGAAAAGGGCCCACGGCTGATATCTGGATGTACTGGTGGTTTAAAAAAAAAGGGAGGAAGATCTGCTAAGCCACCTGAGTAGCTTTCAAGATTAAGCACTCAATCGCAGTGTTTTCCTTTCCCGTCCAAACCTGTTTGCAAGCAATTGTTAAGAATTGGAAGCTTGAACACCTGTACAAGTTTTTGAATATGCAGAAAAACGCTTCAGAAATTTAGAAAAAGTGAGCCTGCTTTCATTTAGTCCACTTCTGCATACCTGCCGAGGTAGCAACTTCTAAAGATCTTTGTGAGAGCTTGAGCCCACCCCCTGATATAACCCCAATATCCGCCGACGGGTCTTCCGAACGCCGACAGGTCCGCCTACTGGCCGGCCCGACTGGTAGGCGCGCCTACTGCCTATGGTAGGCATCGGCGGTAGGCGCCAAAACCACCCAGATTTCTAGTAATTTTCTACAAGGAAATGGGACTTCACATTGCAGGCATGTCCTATAGCTTCTGTGGAGTCGGCGCCTGCGGATATTGGACAGCACAGTTTTGCTACCTTTGGGGACAAATCCCACAGCCCTTTCATCTGGCTGCACAACTGCTGACTGGCCAGTCAGTAGCGTGCTGCAATAAGATGTCCACAGGCCATGACAATGGGGTATCGATGTGATCACATATTCCCCATTTACGTAGGTTCCCTGCCTGCCAGGTGAATCGTTCTATGTTTATGCCTCTGGTCAGTGGGTCTACCATTGCTCACCTGAACAGTGTTGGATGCCCACACATGCAGATGTCTATTGTCAAGCCAAGGAACACAGAGGACACATTTGGCATCAAGGAAAAGGGGATATCACTTGCCTGTCCAGCTGTTGAACCCGCCTTTCTCTTTCTCCCCCTTTGTGGTTTGCCATTTGCTTCCTCGACATGCTCTTCCTTCGCGTCCTTCATTACCCATCAACCCAGACACAAACCCATCAACCCAGACACAATCACAAAACTTGTCAGAAACAACACATTCTTGGTTATACTACCGTCTTCACCCCAATAGAACGCCCGGTAATTATCGTCATGTCCGGACAGAAAGTTGTACCAAATACAGCTATAATGACCAGGCGTTCTATTTGTATGAAGACGATAGCCTTCTAGGAACTGGCCTGTTTCATATCAGATTGACGTCGAGATGTGTGCAGCTAACAAATAGCAGAATGTCCTTCTCTAAATCGATAGCATTAGGCTAGATCATCCCAGTGCAAGCAAACCATCTATGTCCAGACCTTCTTCATCATGGTACTAATGGGGGATGCTGGACCTGATTTCCAGCAGGCGTAGCTCCCCACCACTTGGCTGGAGCCAACCCTACTGCAAACGTCGATCCAGGTGGTTCTCCCACCACCACCTGGATAGAGGAGATGCAGTGTGATGCTTCAAAAAAAAAAAAAAGAAGCATCAGGCTAGCAGAATAGCATGATCCCAACATCCCATAAAAGTCATTCTTCACTTCAACCAATGTCGGCATCCAAGAAGAATGAAAGGGCCACCCTCCAGAGGCACATGTGTTTGCTTCTTTTGTTGTGTTCCTTTTTCATTCCTTCCAAAAAAGCCAAGGCCAAGACCGCCCACATAAACCCCAGAGATAGAGACCACTGATCAAGGCTGAAAGGCGTCCACTGAGATCATGAATTAGCGCTAAGGTAGTCAGTCCAAGGCTCCTAAAACCCCAGAGCCGGCTTTCATGAATGCTAATGACCCCTTCCAATCCTCCCTCTCTCCCTAAAAGCCCCATCTTGCCCTTGCAGATACAAGATACCTCTCAAATGTGTTCTAGCACTGGGTCTCATTTCGTCCCCATGGGCATACATATGGAGGGACACAGACAAGCATGCACTTATGGCGCCACACAATCAGGTAGATGGATGATCAGGGGATCAGGGGGGGAGAGAGAGAGAGAGAG